CTGTCATCCTATACAGATTCCAGCATGCCTTTCATATAAATAATAATAGGTTACCAAATTAATGTTTACAGCAAAAGATCCAAATACAATAGCAACGGTTTAATATTTAGCATGAGCAAAAATGATAAATTAAAAATTTTATTCTAATACTGAATAGTGGAATTTAGTATTTAAGTTTTCTAGCATGCTAAAATTTTCGAGGCCTTACATTTTGACAGCAGGGCGTTATTTACAGAGATTTACATACGTACAGTACGTACGTACTTACTGATTAATGTTATTGCACAATATATTTTTTTATATAAAAAACCAGGAAAATAAACTTCATATATGGTAGTTCCATATGAGGCAAATTTCATAAATGAATATTTGTGATCCAAAGATATTCCACGTTTTGACTATATAATTCTGTTTTCCGTACGTGCGTACATGGAAATTCCCCTAATAGTAATCGGGTAACATTGTACAAATAGAATAGAAAGGTAAGATTTACATGTACAGTATTACGTTTTTATTTATTAATTCAATATTCGCAAATTCTTCCTGCATCGATTTAGGAAATTACGCTGTTTTCAAAAAAAGAAATTTCCGAAAAAAGAATTAACGTTTCTGGGATTTTACGATGAAAATTTTTTTACTGTATAGATTTGTACAGATTTATAATGTTTTTCCTTTTTTGTGGACTAAACCTTCTTTTCTGAGATAATAAGATCGCCTATCGCCATGACGTTATTTAAGATTTTATGGAAAATTTCTGTGCATTTTGTAACGAAGAATAAGTGCACAATTCTTACAAAAAAGGAAATTTCCCTGTGTAATACATAAATAAAACCACTCGCTCATTGCAGAAAATTACTTATTATAGCAAATATCAGAATTTAATTATAATTCATAAACAAACAATGATAAACGTTACTAACGCTAAAAAGGCATTTGCTTAAATGGGAGAAAAAAATAATATTAATCAATTTATAAATTCTCAGTGCTAGCACCTAAATCTTCATTTTTCAACACTTATTTCTTCTATTCAATAATGAAAAGAAAGCAGGGTTTTGAATTTAAAAACAACGATCCAGAGACAATGTTTAAAGAAATGAAACTAAAACAACGCAAACAGGAGTAAACGAGAAAAGGACAAGCTTGAAACGAAAGTTTTAGAGTCATCTAGCAGTTTCCAACAAACATTTTTGTTCCAATTCAATTTACCGTCTGATAGTCACCAGCGAAAACTTAGGTTTATCCCACAGCGGCGAGAAACGGTGCCTAAAACTTCGAATAAAACTAACACAAGAAAGACAAGAAAGAATTCTCTACCTAATTATTTAAGCATTCCAAATGCAATACAACAATTTCAAGCTACTAATGATCATAAAGGAGGTGTTTCTGTACAAGCTTCCAGGCAAACCCATGCTGATTTTATCGCATCTGGTACCTACTAATTCAAGGAAAATTAATTAAAAGCTTTTGCATTTGATTTCTTTATATTAATAATCTTTAACATTTGTATTGTCTAACCCTATGTAGCAGAAAATATTAAAACTATGGCTCAATACAATACAAATGGCATATTTAATTGCATCTGATTTTTTTTCATATTACTAATCTTTAGAATTTGTATGTACCTACATGTAGTTAAAAATAACGTTAACTCTATTGGTCCATACAATCCATATATTTCATACATACAACCTGCATTGTCTGGTATATACAACTTTAATTATTTATTGTGCTCGGTCTTAATACTTCCAATAACGTTTTCATATCTATAATACATACCCACCGACAGCCGACATTTCACCGACAGCCGACATTTCACCGACAGCAGGCATTCACAGAGAGCTCGTTTGAAACTATCGATATGATGTCTCCAGCATATGATATCGATAATCATTATCCGCAGAGCGCTTTCCTAGATAATGATGTATCAAATTGTAAGCAATAGCAATGACAAAATTTTCATCTACTTAACATGCATGTGTTATTAATAACTTTTCCCTCTGCATTCTTCTTATAGTAATGTTTAACTCTGATGATACATTTAATGACATCCACTTTTGTTGAAAAAATTCATCGAATGACGAATCAAAGATTTTAAAAATAATACTGTTTAAATGCATGTACATAAAAAAAATTTTGGTTAAAAAATTGGTTATTTTATGTAAATACTAGAAAAAAAATCTCTACTGAAGATGTGAAATTAAACAATATCGATTGTATTTATGTAAAAAAAATCAGTGGCATGATGCAGTATATACGCACATAAATTTTTATAGGTTTATTGTACCATATAAATATTTTTTTTTTCTTTATAAATTTTATCTACGGAATGTCAAAATAAAACAGAACGTGCAATTTATATGTTTAATTTTTTAGTACGGACATCATTCTCCGGATTCTCCGGATTCTCCGGATTAATAAAATTATTTTTATCCAACACTGTTACAATGTTCTTCGTGTTCTCGCTTTTTTCATTCTTTCAAAAATCAAAATACGTATTATGGTTACATTAGATCTAAATTTAGTAACGATAGCCATTTGCTAGCTAAATATAGGGATCGGTTAAAGCGTTTAGTATAAACTTGGAAATGATCTACATACTGCATAGGTTATATTCTTGATATTTATATAAACCATTAACCATTACTGAATCAACAAAGTAATTCTAACGCACCTTGCTTTAGCCATTCCTTAAATATTAGAATTTATAATGTACATTTTACCTAGCCTAATTAACATCGCAAGATAACAAAGTATTTTAGTCGATATTATGCACAAAGATTGGAAAATTTCTTACAATTACGTGAGAATACGTATTGAAATGATTATAGATAGATACTATTCCGCTTATTTCCTATTACTAGATCTGTTTTGTATTAAAAAAACGGAATTATATTCAACCATTCAAAACGAGATTTCATTGAACTTTCTAAAACATATTAGAAAAATCGAAACAAATTGAAACTGATGATGTTTTATAAGAATAGACTTTTGCTGTAAACATTAATTTGGTAACCTATTATTATTTATATGAAAGGCATGCTGGAATCTGTATAGGATGACAG